TGTTAAGTGTTACCAGGGGGAACATACATGCTTTACTCAAAAGATAAAGCTGAAATGAATGAAAACAGCTTGTTAAAAAAAAAAAAAAACTTTCAGAAAGAGAATACTCCAATTTCTGGACTTGGAAGCATGAATCAACAAAGGCTAATGTTGAATATGCAGGCTGTACCAGTGTAAGCGTTCCTAACATGTGGTCAATGTATCACCAGCTTTTTAAAGCAGAGAATTGTGTTGTCTGTGTGTGACTTCAAAGAACAACACAACAGAAGGATTTCACCTGAGCCACCAGAGAAGCCAGGATTCCTTACAGGTCTTTAACTGTTATTTTGTAAGCATAATGTAACTTCTGAAACCCTATTCGAAAAGCAAACACCTAAAGTCAGCAACTGTCTTTTAACGATAAACTGACACAATCAGAAAATATGTCTCACTTTTGGTAAGACTAAAAAGTTAGTCATAAAGATAATATTTTGTTAGGCAATGTTGGCTTAAGCTGAAACACTGGTTTAGGCTGTGAAACTGACAGGAATAGATTCTATACAGAAACTTTTCAACTGAATTTTCAACTACAACTTCCCTTTCAACATCACCCACCACTTGAAATAGCAGCCGCAGAGTCCTGGGGAATTAATTTACTAAACATTGTTTTCACTTGTGAAATGTTAAATATAGCTAACCTATCACCAGGTGCCACTCTTTCTTCTTTGTAGGTTTCCTGTCAACAAGCAAGCACACGTGCTGTGGCAGCTAAAATTTAATTTAAATGACATTGTTGACTTCATCAGTAAGTATTGTGAGGCAAATCTTACAGCTGGAATGCATCACACATTGAGAAATGAATTAGGTGCTGATACACATATATTAGGAATCAGTTTTTGCAAACTTTTGACTCTAGACAAAATCACTGAATCAATCCGATTGTTTTCACTGAAAAAAAAAAAACAAAAAGTTTAAGAAATGCCAAGTGTTTCATTATACCTATGAAAAGCAGAGAAAACACAATTTTTTGTCTCAAAAGATTAATTCTGCAAGGCAACGAGCCTTAAAGCTCTGAAAAACAAAAACAAAAAACAAAAACATAACCTTGTAGCTTGTTAGGGCTTCTGAGCTTAGGGTTCTAGCTGTTATAGGAAAGATATTATAGTGTTAAAAAAAAAAAAAAAAACCTCTGAACAGAACCAAATGAAAAGGCAAAACTGTCTCAAAAAACCTTGAAGAAAAGCCTGTTTTAGTTTAATTTACACCTCAGGTAGCCATTTGATATTTGGTTCAGCGTTTGGTAATACTGGATGAATACTGTTACATCTTATTATTTTAGAGCAAAAAACTCCACCTTGTCTACTTTACATAAAGATGCATTTTAATAGTATGCACTCTAAGTATTAAACTTGAGCCTTCCAAAAAATTTATCTCTTAATAAGAAGCTCTGGTTCCACAGTCAGAGAGGCCTGGCTTTGAAGAGTAACTGGGGAACTAATATGCTGTGCCCCAAAATGGTCACTTACTGAACAAGTAGAACTGTATGTGGACCTTCTTCTAAAGTAAATCAATGCATGCAACAGCAAATTATTGTTGACAGCTGAAGCACATACAAATTTGCTGTTATGGTTAGTCAACCTACAAACTTTATCCATTGAAGAACTTTGACATGTAATGACACTAAGAGTTGAAGATATATTCGCTGACTAATCATGATGTGCTTATTCTGGTCCTGATGAGCAGTAGCTGAGCTCATACATTTCCATACATTTATATCTGGTATTGTAATTCTTTAGATTCCTATTCAATATATGAAAAATGAGGGAACAAAAAGAAACAATACAAAGAAGGAAAAAAAAAGTCAAGTCACAAATGTTGGACATGACTAGGTAATTTCTCAGTACAGTGTTCACGGATAGACTCACAACATCTGATGCGTCTTAAACATGTCATTTCTTAGCTTACAATACAAAGAACAAGCTACTAACAACAAAATCAAGTCTTTAACCAAGTTAATTAGTTGAATTGTGAAGTTAGCTGTGGGATGCATAAACTTCCCTAAATCTCGATGAGTTTTCAAAGTACAATGAACTTTGAAACCATCTCTCTCAGATGACTCCCCAGAGGTACAGTTGTTTGATGAATATGAATCCTTTCTTGATGTGCATATGCAGGCAGCAGAGTGTATGTAGGGCTGGAAGAATTAGTAATAAGAAAGAAAATCATGTCTACAAAAGTAGGGGAAAACAATTTATCTTCAGTGACTGTTTCATATTTTAATGCAAATAGATAAATAATTTACTAGGAATGTCACAAGCGCATTATAAGTGTAATGAGATTTCAAAAATGAGAAAGATTTGTAAGCACTGTTCAATCCTGTAAGATCAAAATTGATTAGTTGTAATGTCTTAATCAAAAACTTCAAAGTAGAATTTTGAAAACACTTGTAAAATATGCTCACACCCACTCGCATACACAAATTTAATGTGGTTCTCCAAAAATGCTATAGATGTGGGGAAAAACAAAGGAAAATAACCAAAATAAGATTAGTTTTAGGTTGGACTTAAAAAGAAAGTTAAGCCACTAACTAGCTATTTTATATTCTATATTTTTTATATTAGGTGTCAAATTGATACTAGTCACTACTGTGATAGGCAATTGTACAATTTTTATAAACTGTATATTGAGCAGTAATGGTTTTATAAATTATTATTTCCTTGAAAGGAAATGACACCTTTGTATGTCTTATTCAATATTTGCTCACTGTTTAATTGTTTACTTCTTTACCTGTTAAGGAGAACCAAGTGAAAAGAGTATTAACATTTCATTCCCATTATGAGCTATTATAATTGAAAATAAATCACCCTCAAAGATATGAATGCAACTCCCATTAATTTGTAAAGCTGTAATAATAAATTGCTTAGGTCAACTTATGTTAAATACTTTTAGCTTGAATATCTTAAAAACAGCAATAGATGGAGCCTCATGCCCCTATGTAGTATTCATTTTTTCACAGATACTAAGAAGGCATGGCCAGATTTATTGATTAAACTATTGTTAATTATGTATTTATTTATTAGACTTTACCTGATTTATTATTCAGCATGGCTAGATATACTCATTACATTAATTATTAGATATAATAATTATATTAATTATTTCAATATCTGATTTTACTTTATTTTCTCCCATTACTTCCTTTTTCTGATCTACAGAACCTTACGTAATTGACACCTTTCTCGCCTAATCATTTAAACTTAAAAGTTTTCTTTCCAGGCATTCTTGTAGATCATATATTTTCTTTCTAATCACTCATATATATATATATCTCTCTGACCTACTTCTAAGAAATATAAATCCTTACTCCATTCCTAACTCAAACACACTGTACTCATGGCCCCTATGAGTTCCACATCCTGTAGCTTTTCCTGCATAATTATCTCATCTCTTACAGTTTCTAAATTTAAATGTGGGCATAGGAGTATGAGATAGTAAGGATGACACTAGGTAGGTATCATGAGAAAATGGAGCCAAGGTATAAAACTGTCCAACTGGAGAGACCATGATTAGTGTTAGTTTCAGCCAAGGAACTCTCAGGAGGAATACAGGTCCAGAGTTGTCACATTTTTCCGTCTCTCAAGAGAATATGAAAATCTGTACTTTTATAAGGAATCTGCTAATTTATTAGAACTGTCTGAAGTTTCCTTTTACCCACTGGAAATAAATATTGACTGCTGCACATACTCTACCCAGAAGACGCTGATTTATAAACTGTCAGAATTGTCCTGCATCAGTCAGATGCTACCCATCTCCTTGTTCTTGTACTCTGCCTTCAAATATACAAAGTTCACCCTCAACTAAAAACAACCAGACAGAAGTACTTGGCACTGCCATGGTTTGATTCCTGTTTCCATTCCAATCACACTGAAAGTTTTAAAACAAAAAGGCCCACCAATTCTTGCATTTCCATGGCACCCATCTCTTTAATTTCCAGCCACTCTTTCAATTATATCTCAGCATGTAGTGAGTGTCTTTGATGCGATGCATTCTATGAATTGCTATGCATACACTGAAGATGAGGGTAGTAGACTCTTCCTTCAAGTGGCTTATTCTACATCATATATAGATGCAAGGCAAGGAGTGAGGAGGTAGAAACCCAAAGAGATCAGCCAGCTTACCCTCTTAACCACTAAACCACTCTTACAAAATCTATATGTTAAATCCAGTCATTGAGTAATTAGCATTTTACCAATGCTAGAAAAATGCAATGTTTTATTATGTAAAGGATGGTTGTTCTCTTGAACTTTTGAATAGTTCTGATTTACTGAAATGCTCTGATTTAAACATGCTAACCAACACAGCAATGAAACTATAGTGAAAATGATCCTGTTTCCTCCATAATTAGGAAGGCCCTAACTTTCCTGTTAGTTATAGAATTATAATGGAAGAAAACAAGATATAATGAATATAGATAGGTGCTGTATTTGATTTCAATTTGATTTCAAATACAAGAATCTTACAAAGAATAAACCTCCACTCTAGAAACCTTATTTGCTAATTTTCACCTGTTTAGGATATAATTATTGAATAAGCACTCATAGAATAAGTAAAATTTACTTATAACTGTTGGCAAAAATAGCAGTTGAATAGGCTCTACTTGTATCCAGTATGAGAAAACACAAGATTTTATTAAAGACTTTAGAGAAGTTAAAGATAATTCTAAAAATATATGTCTAGCAAGATAAAAATATGTTAAATATTAGGGTTCTACTGAATGTTTTATTTCATTAGTATAAAGACGGTATGTTAAAAACTCACATATTCATCCTTATATTTCTGAGTGTATAGTAATTTCAGTTTTATGACTTCACATCTTTCAGAGAGCAACATTAAGCACTGGTTCACTCTTACTGAAGTATTCATACTTAAACTATAAATCAAGCATTCAATGTAAGTTTGCCAAGTCCAATGTATTCTCGAACATGATGTGAGATTTATTATGCCTTATTAAAGAAACTCACCTTATTTCTAGGACCAAAGAGGAATTGATTTTCCAACCTTCTACTGAATGCTGGAAGATTGAAGAACCACCCTTTCGAATGATTTTATCCGAACTATTGACAAGGGATCGACTTAAACACAGCTCACCATCTCTGGAACAGAACACAATAAAAGCTTTGTAAAAATAGGAAACACTTTGCATAATATCATAATACCTGATTTAGATTACTGGTGACAACTTACAGATACAACACTTTCTATATGTTAGAAGAAGTATAAGCATGATGAAAGGTATTATCAAAATTAGGTGAGTATGACTTTATTGGGCAATCATTTACACTGACTATTTCACTTACTATTTTTAAATAAAACTGTTTTCATGTAAAGGAAAGACCTTTGTGGTACTTAAAGAAAAAAATTCTCATCAAGGTTCTGCTCCCCTTTAATCCCTCCCTCCCTGCTGTGTGTAACAATAGAGACAGGATGTTTGGCCAGTTCTCCTGCATCTGTGTAACTGTGACTCCTAAGATAGCAATTTTATTTTCACAGAAGACATGAGACATAGCAGAAAGAGCTTTGGTTTTGGAGTAAGATGACGCTGGCTATCAAGGGATCTAGGCATGTTTGTGATTCTGTTGCTCTCTAGCCCCTAAGTCCTTTGACCATATTCCCTTTCCAGGCCACTGTGGCTTTCAGTTCAGTTCAGTTGTTCAGTTGTGTCCGACTCTTTGCGACCCCATGGACGGCAGCATGCCAGGCCCCCCTGTCCATCACCAACTCCCGGAGCTTACTCAAACTCATGTCCATCCAATCAGTGATGGATGGACCATCTCATCCTCTGTGATGAGGTGGCTTTAACCTTACCTTGAAAATTGCAAAAATATTAACTAATATGCTTTGACTTTGTGAGGATTAAATGGAACTCTGCATGTGAAAGTAATTTATAAAACAACTGAAGTGCTAATTCTGAAATTACATTGGTCTCAAAAAATCTCAACGATGAGGTGCTTTCCTGATAGTTGTTTGGGGTGGGGAGATAAGAGATTGCAATTGGGGGAATACTCATTCAGTAGCCATTATTATTGGTATTTTCAGTTATATCAAGAAATCAACTGTGCTGCCCCCACCAGCCAACAGCTTGGGGTAAGTATATCATGAGGCATGCTAACAGCAGGGGTCATGACTGGAAGTGACAGATACCTATGATGGCATTTAGGCCCTTAGGGCCTTTATAGTTGAAACTGTTCATTGTTCAGTAGACTATTTCTTGGCATTTTATTGATGTAAACCCAGACTCAGAGAATAAAAAAAGCCACCTGTCTATGGCCTAGCCCTTTCAAATCTGTATTTCTTTACATGTCACCTCTTAATTTTTTTTTTTTTAGAATCTAAAGAACATCGTTAAAAAGCAACATGGCTATTTGCTCAGTCACAAAGTCTAAATCTGTGTTTATTATGTAGGCAATCCCTCCCTACTATCAACGGAAACACTGCCTTTGCAACAGCTGCTAGATGAATTCTGTAATTGGAGGCTTACAGTTTGGTATTTTGGTTTGCATTCTTTTTGAAACATGTAGTTCCAATTTGAAGCAACTCAAAGCATCAAAAGCAACTACTCCCTGTAAAATTTGGAACTCTATAAAAATTAATATTTTAAACTGTTCTACCAATGAAAACAATACACTTGCATGCCTAGGCATGGCTAATAATAGTCATTTTATAGAGGTCATTTAGGAGGTACGGAAACAGGGTGCAATTACTGTTCAGTGGCCCAGAGTCAAATTTTATATTACACGTCTAATCATGATAACTACATATGAATGAAAACATGGATGTACAGAGTTAACCTTCATACTTTTGGAGATGTGCTTCCAAGGGTATGGATACAAACATCTCTAGGGGTCAGTATCTTTCCAATCTTCATCTTGCTAATAATTGGCCTGTCAATTCATCTTTTTCTAAACACAGATTGCTACAATTAAAGTAACTATTTTTGCCACCAATAAACTTTTATAGAAGAAGTAAGCTGGCATTTTAAATACCTGTGGAAGATTGCTTTACTGACAGGTAGATAAAGATACATTTTTATAAAGCAGAATGATTGCTATGATATCATTTGGAGCCTTTTCAGAACTGCAAAGATTTAAAGAAGTGCTTTAAAAGTTTAAATCAGGTTTATTAATATATTAATGAAATGCCGCCACATTACTCTGCTCTTTGGATTGTTTTGTTTTCATTAAACTGGTGATAAGCCAAACTTCAGACTTTTATTACTGGAAAGTATTTTGAATGAAAGTATCTACAGCTAGTCACATTTCTCCTTGAAGTCAGTGGAACTCGTGTGAGAAAGCCAGGCTTCCAGCAATCTGAGGCTCTGAAGCAAACTTCTTTATATAAAGTTAAACAAGTCCCAAGGAGTTTTTCACTTGTGACCTTGATAGTACTTGGTCTTGGACAAGCCTTTTCCTTCCCGTGAATGCAAGGCATGAAGGATGTTACCACCCCCTCCTAGCTTCTCATCCCAGATCCAAACAGCTGCACTGAAAACATGTCTTGCAGGGGGCTATATACAAGATGATTCAATATGTACTTATAAAGGGATAATTACACACCACATAAAAGAAATAAAGCAACATATAAAGTATTCCTGCGTATACACAGCTAAAAAACCCACTTAGATGGCTATCTATGTAATACCAGGGATAGAAGCTAGTCAGTAGTTATAAGTAAAGTTGTAAAGTTATATTGTAAAGTTGATAGACTTTACAAATATTTTTCTCTTTGAAATATGAGTTGCCAGGCATCACTATAATTTATTCTATTAATGTTGCAGTACCTAACACGTAGGATTAATTCAGTTTCATGAAATTAGGTACAAAAAAAAAAGAAGAAGAAGAGAAATTAGGTACCCAAAAGCCCTGTATTCCACCTCATTGTAAACCCTTCTTGACTTGGATTTGGAATGTGTTCTCTTAGGTTAAACTTCCTATTTAAAATGAAAATGTAAGTTATTTACGCAAAAAGAACTTGCATCAAACTAAGCCTCAACAGAAATAGCAGGCAATTTTGTGTTTTCATTACCTAAGTGTAAAACAACTAGAAAACAATGAGATATGCTACCTTAACTTACGGCATATGGCTTTTAGTAGAATTCCAACTATAACATATGAAGTAACATGCAGATTCTGGTTTCCTGAGTTACCAGAGTGTGTTCTGCCCTAGATCAAACTGGAATGAACACTGCTAACAATGATAAAATACTCTTAAGTATGAATACTTATCTCCACTGTCAATCCTACCATAAGTTTCAGAACTAATACTGGAGATAATCTAGTGAGACAACCTAAAGTGCACAGTCAAGTGAAAAAGGACATCTCTGGATAATAAGAAAAGTAAGTTAAAGTGCCATTTAAAATCCACCATTAAAAAAGTATGTGGCAAGTTTTAAGGAGTAACAGAGCAAATGTCTATTTGGTATTCAAGTTTGTTACTTTCCCAAGTGCATTATTTCATTAAATGAGTACACCCACATAATTTTATCTGTAAGACCTTTAAGTTAGCATGTTTCTAATTATACCCAAAGAACACAGAGTCAGTAAAAGAATATGCCAACTGAAAGGCAAATGCCATTTTCCCATTTCCCATTTGGTGGGAAGTAAGTATTTTCCCATTAAGTAAAAATATCAGTTAAGAACAGACTCCTTTATACCCCTAAATGCCCTTTCAGTTTAACTTGATTAACTAGCCAACAGATCAGGCAATTAATAGGCTAGCTTTGAAAGAAACAATTCTGAACATCCAATAATTAGTCGACCTATTCTTCAATCATTACTTATGGCACACATGCTGCTGGAATTCCTCTGGGGATTTGTGAACGTGGACGCTTGGTGTGGGAAGCTGAGCGGCTGTTTCTTCTTTTCCCCCTGTGTGGAATGACTGCTCGACCCTGTATATAAGAAGAACCAGGTCACATGGACTCTAGGTGGGACCTCCAGTGTTAAAAGGCAGGCAGGTGGAATAAAGAAAGAAACTACTTGTCTGCTGCCAAATGGAAGCAGGGACGCTAAATCCGAATCCAGAAGGATGTTCTAAGATCCAAGGACTATGGAATTGCCCTTCACCGAGTCTACGGCCCACTCACAAGGTACGCAGCGGCGCCCCCAAAGGTCAGAGACTCCTGTTTACCTCTCCCGCGATGAACCGGCTTGGGTTCCAGCGGCCAAACCGCCAGGCTGGGTTACTCATCTCCAGAGACCAGCCCCTCCACGTGGCTTGGGCAGAAAGAGAGTCAATAAGAAGAACCGTTGTTTGGGATGAGTCAACCCCGCCACCAGAAGCACTGCTCAGGGGAGTTGAAATCATCAACTGCTACCCCCAGCTTTTCAGGGGCACGCTTCAGCCGAGGGGAAAGCGCTGGGGCAAGGGTGCGCTGGAGGGGACCAGCTGTCCTCCCGGTGCGCCTCCGAACCCCGGGCAGCGCCAACTCCCAGGTTTCAGCGACCGGCGCGCGCCACCCCGCGTGGCCGTGATTGCGGGTTTTAATTAGGGAGGAGGCGCGTGGGGGCCGACTGGAGCAGTAAAAGTTATTTTTTTATTTGTAATGGGGACCTGATTCTTGCAATAGAGGCTGCTTCCTCCACCCGGGCGGGCAGCTCTCTGGGGAGGGTGGGGGGTGGAGGGAGGGGGAAGCAGGAGAACCCCCGTTCCGCGCACCCCTCTTCCTGTTGGATGCGCCCGCCCCTCGCATCCTCGGAGGGGCGGGCTCGGCCCGGAGAAGGTGCGAGAGGAGCCCCGCGGGGCTGGCCCGACCCCCTGGCCCGAGCCTGCTCGCCCCCCCCCCCCCCCGCCTTCACCCTCCTCCCCTCCCTCCTCCTCCCTAGCGCCCTGGCCTGCGCCCACCGGCAGGCAGAGGCCACAGGAGGCATGTCGCCCAGGAAGGGGGGAGCACCCCAGGACTCGGGGTGCGCCCCGCCTTCCCACCGGCGGGTTACAGAGGCCTGGGGAGAGGGCTTCCCGGGGGACTCCCCCCGCCAGTCTCTCCCCTCACCACCCCCAGGGTGGCCCGCCGCCGAGGCCCCGACCCTCGGAGTCCTGGCCGAGGACGTGGCCGCTTTGTCTGGGCTCAAGGCGCGTCTGCGGAGCCCACCGAGCCCGGAAGATCACCGAGAGCCTCGACCCCCCCCCCACCCCCAAGCCCAGCCTCAGCCTCTCCCCCTCGGGCGCCGGTTCACCACCTCCCTAAAGACCCCTTTGTCAGTATGCAAAGCCCCAGGTCTACCCGGGGATGCCCACCGATTCACCGCCCCCACCCCCCACCCCCAGTCCTTCTTCTCTCACAATCGAGCCAGGCTGAAGGTTCAAGCCACCCCCTCCCAGTGTGAAGGACCTCACCCAGTTCGGGGACCCTCCTTCCCGAATAGGCCATTTGGAGATTTATTGAGGCATAACAACCATCCCGCACATGCCAATTTGGCTTTTTCATTCTCTTCCAGTCCCCTTCGACTGTACTTCTGTGTTAATTTTCTATCAAAGAACAACGTCTTCTGTACAGATAAGCCGGCGTTTTGCTCACTTAAATTTTCCTTACTTAGGGAGGAGCAGGAATATTAAGAAATGGAGTGCGTTAAGTTTAGTGTGTGTGTGTGTGTGTGTGTGTGTGTGTGTGTGTGTGCGCGCGCACACACACGTTTTAGCCGCCCTGTGCCCCCGCCTCCCCGCCCCAACATGCAAGGGTTCTATCTTCGTCCTCATCTTTAGGGAAAAGAAAAACCAGGCTGGCATCTCTGCCAGTGTGGAGTTTCAGATAGCGACAGCAGACACCTCCGGATGAGGCAGGATTTCCGAAACAGGACTTTGAGCAGAGTTGACAACCAGGGGTCACATCCTCAGAAAAAAAAGAGAGAGAGAGAATGCTTCCAAGCTATGTAAGCAACACAAAGTTGCAACCACCTCCTGGGTAAACTTCAAAGTCACAGAGGCTGGGGGGGCGGGGGGGAGGGAGGAAGGAAGTGTGATATTTAGAGAACTGACTAGGGTGGAGGAAGATTCTGAACTCATCTAGACAAACTAAAGAAAAAGCAGAAATCTAGTCTGTGTGAAGTAGGACCCAGTTTCCAAAACTGTAACCATGACGCCTATGCGTTTGACCCACGGACAGCAAAGAAGGAAGTATCATTGGTTGACCTGGAGCTTCTAATTAAAATGATGATACACAGATCTACTCGACGCCAAAAAAAAAAAACCAAAAACAATAACAAAAAACCAATTGTAAAGAAGAGACGCATTTCCTACTTTCTGGGCTTTAACTTCAGCCTTTCAGGAAGCCAGCTTCTGCTGGCACCTCCCTTTAGAGCTAGCAGAGAGAAAGAAAGAAGGGCAATAAAGACATCTGGACCGAGTTCTGCCCTGGGAGTAAAAAGGGCAAGAGTGGCCGTTCTTTGTTGACACTCTGCGGGGACTTCTTTGGCTTGCGAGCCCCGGCACCAAGGCAGCTGTCACTATCACCGCGCAGGGCAAACTCCTACTGAGAACCCGCCGTGGAGAAATCGCACACCTCCACAACAGCCTTTGTTATTTACTTCACCAGACTAAGTGCTCGCAGGCGGACCCCACCGCCAACACGACCCCAGCCCTCACGCGATCGCTTCTATTCACATCTCATTCACGGCTGGACTTTTGGTCAGATCCTAGAATGAAGCTTTGCATTTACCCGATGAGTTGCGTCTCCTGGTGCTCCTCGGTCCGTGCCATCTCTTTTGTCTTATAAAAGATCAGGAGCAGACTGATCGTGCAGATCGTCCACCTCTTCCTGATGGAGCGCATCTTGGGTGCCCGGGAAACTCCTGGTGGCCCCAGCTCCCTCACCTCCTCTTCATAGAAGGATTCCGTTCCGGGGAGAGGTAGTCGCGGGGCGCGGGGGGTGGATCTGTAAAAGCCGAGGAGAGCGTGGAGCCGGGATCTCCCCAGCAGGTCTCGAGGGTCCCCTGCGGCCGAGCTCCGGCTCGTCCCCGAGGGCTGCGCGGGGCGCTCTCTCTCTCTGTTCCCTCCAGCTCTGCCCGGGTCGGTCCAGCGCCTCCTCCCTGGGGCTTCGCTTCCTTTGGAGGAGAGACACCTTGTGCATCGGAGGTGGCGGCCGCTTCTGCAGCGGGGTTCGGGGGCGTCACTGGCCCTTCCCTTTTTGCTAGCATGGAAATGATGAGCAAAGCCAGCCAATCACGGCGCCGAGGGGGCGGAGGCTGCTGTTGCCTTCGGTCGCCGGCTGCTGCTTGCAGAGTAACGTCGCCGGCATTGCCTGCGCGGTGCGTAGAGAGGAAGCTCGCGAGCTCAGTCGTGTACATACACAATCGCGCTCTCTCTCTCACACACACACACTCACGCAAGCACGCACCAGTGCTCGCACACCGTGGGAAGAGAGCAGCGCCTGAGGAAGAAGTCAGCTCGCCCTCTCGGGACAGCAAAGCTTGAGCTCGATCTGGGGACCAGGGTGCACCTAGATAGTCTTGCCCGCTTCCTCGTGGAGAGGACCCCGCGACTGGGGACACAGATCGGGACACGATCTGAGAGCTGGAGGTGGCTAGCAAGAGGGTTAGCCGCTTCCAGTCGTCTTTGCTAAATATACACCCTCGAGCGCGCACACACGCCAAAACGCACGCCCTCCAGAGGGGAGTGAATTGGGGGCGGGAGGAAGAGGGGGTTGGAGGACGTTTGATATGCTGGGCGCCGCTCCATCCCGAAAGGGCAAACACACGCGCGCTCAAGCCGATCTCCCACTCCAGGGGAGGGGTGGTGGATGACCAGCCCAGCTCAGAATCTAGCAAGGAACCAGTGATGGCAGAGGTGTCATCGGGGAATTGATGGATATTTAGGAGGGACTATCGCTACCATTTGAAAACTCCTCACGCGAAAGTCAAGGAAACTCCAATCCCACTTTAACTTTTCTGCGGAGAGATCAGAGTCTGAGAAAAGCAGAATCTCCCTTTTAAAACGCAAGTAGACTTACACACACACACACACACACACACACACACACACACACACACACATACACGCATACACACATGCACACACCCAGGAGAAAAAAAGGGAGGGGAAAGACAAGAAGGGAGGAAGGAAGAAGGGGGAAAAGGAAGAACAGCAAGCTTTTCTCTCAAAGTCTTAGGAGTTTGTATTTAGCCTGATTTTCACCCTGTCTTTCCCTCTACTGTTTGTTTGTTTGACTTCTACTGTATTGTGTGGCGGGAGCACTTTTTCCTTCCTAGCTTCTAGTCTTCAGTTAGAGTCCCTCTCCAAGTCTTGGGTCCCCTAGCCTCAGCCAGAGAGAAGCTTGCAACTTAGTTTGCCTTGGTTTGGTTTTTGTGTGGTGTGGGTATGGTGGAGGTGCGTGCGGGAGCCAGTTCTGAAGTGAGACAGTGCCTGGAAGTCAGAATTTCCCCCATCTATCTGAGCAGGACCCAGACTCTCTGCTTCTAGCCCTTCCCCCAGAGGCTCTCTCAATTCAGTTTCTTGTTCTTCAGGTTGAGCAGTGGCTTCTGTTGTCATCCACGCTTGGCCCCTAGGGCTTCCACCTCCCTGAGCCTAGAAATGGTGAGGTTCACTGCCAACCCTCTGCTGGAGGGGAGCAATAGTGGCAAAGCAAAGTTTCTAGTCCCAGACAGCATAAAATAACAAGGATAACAGCCAACACCTTTGCTTTAAAACTCGGGATCCCTGGTGATGTTTGCCATTCTTTGACTAAGATGTAGAAAGTTAAGAACCACTCAGGTCTCCAGCCTCCTATTCACAGCAGAGTGAAAGGAAGTTGGGTCTAAAAAGCTCAAAGGAGCAAGTAATTATGAACCTTTATTGACACTACAAGTGGCCCACCGGGAGCCTTTCGAGTTTATTGATGTCTCGGGAAATCCCGCTTGCATTAATGCAGCTTGATCTTGCAGAAAATGCAAGAATAAAACAGCTTCTTATTTAAGTGAGAAGGGTACTGGAATGCAGAAGAAGTGGGCAATGCATTGTTAGGATGTTAGCTAAGTTAACTTCTGATGTTTAAGCAGTAAACAAACATATTCTGAATTTCAAATAAAACACTACTTGCTGCTGCTGATGGAGTAATATGTATAATTTAATTAAAGTCATCCACATTTCTTAAGCAATTACTATAGACCAGAAAATACATAGGTGCCTGGGAATACAGAAGTGAATAGAATATAGCATCTAAGCAGACAGGAAGAGTACTCCCTCAGAGGGGGACAGATTGAGAAAAAGAAATCAAAGTAAATTGCAATGTGAAAGTGAAAGTTGCCTCCGACTCTTTTGGACCCCATGGACTATACAGTCCCTGGAATTCTCCAGGCCAGAATACTGGAGGGGATAGCCTTTCCCTTCTCCAGGGGATCTTCCCAACCAGTGCAGGTCTCCTGCATTGCAGGCGGATTCTTTGCCAGCTGAGCTACCAGGGAAGCCCAAGTTGCACTGTGGCACCATGAATTAACAGTAGGGTTTGAAGTACGTATCTTGGATGTAGGTAAGCTCCTGGATGGAAGCACATAGAGTGCTTAAGTTTTTGGAAGCAAGGAAGGTAAGCTTCCTAGGAAAGGGCACACATAAATGGAGTTTACAAAGCTAAGAGGTAATCCAGGCTGAACATTGCAAGCACAGGAAAGATATGTGTACACAGAGAGGAATACCATGCCGGAGCTTTGGAATAGATCAGTACTGTTGGAACAAGAATGGGAAAGGAAAACAGTGGGGCACAGTCCTCAGTGTGATCATAATAATCTCAACCTCCACAAACTGTCTTCTAGTAGGAAAGTTACAGCATGAAAATCTTCAAGAGGACAGTAGGTTTAATTCACAAATTAAGCTTCTGGTTTGGTGAAAATGTTCACATGGCCCAAACAAAACAAAACAAATCCATCAACAGCAAAACTAAAGCAAACCAAGAACTAGTTATGGGAACACATAAGACAAAAAAGGAAAAAAAAAAAAAGAACTCTCCAATTGTATACTGCTGCTGTTTCCAAATCTGTTAAGCAGAGCACTTTTTACAAAGAGGTGAACACTTCTGAATGGCTGATAATGGTTCAGCGGAATTCAAGAGATTCCTTCTTTCCATATTTGAACAATTAAGCATTGAGAGTATAATTTAACATCATTTATTTCATCTTATTAGATTTATGAAGTATGCATCCACAATAATTTGCCAAGTTTAGAAATGCATAGAGACCAACACTTTGGCCCAAGTTGAGAACAGCCTGATTCTTCTCAACGTGCTATTAGGGACAAGAGCCATAAATATGTATGTTGGGTAAAAACTCTTATCCACACAAGTGTCTTTTGAACTTACTGCCCTCCATTAGAATGCTGGTTTTGATGATCCTGAAAAATTAAAGTTGCTCCTAAATTTCCATTCTATCTTTGGACTGTAAGTTCTTCAATAAAGAGAACACATTTGTCTTTATTCAGCACAAATCTGCAATACACAGTACTCTATGAATAAATGATACAAGTAATGGCAGCTGGCTTCAAAATGCAACTTTATCCTTTAACTTAATGTAAATCATGTTTTAATTACTGGCTGTGCCCTCAACTTCAGCTGGAAAGAAATGAATAGACACATGCAATCTCACAGTGAGGTTTTTTAATAGCCCATGACATTTTTAATAGCCTATTTTTTAACAGCAGTTTTAGGTTTACAGAGATATTGAGTAGAAAGTTAGAGACTGCCCATATATGCAGTTGAGAGGTGGAGATACTGAACATCCTCCAAACTGAGAAGGAACTTTGGACACCAAAAACCAAAGCAGGAAGTGCAAACTATGAAGTATATTGTGGGTAATTTACAGAGGATCCTGAGGCATTTGAAACTGCATTCCATACAACAAAAGGGGTACTGGGGGACTCAAAGGGACCAACCCTAAAAAACAGAATCTAACCACCCAGTGAGACACACATAAACAGGGACTGGGACCTGGGGTTGTCCCTCCCCCTGGAGGTCTCATGACTGTTAGCCATCTGCATTAGCAAAAGACATTCTTCCAGTTTTCCTATCTGGTGAAGGCAAGGGTAAAAGTTGATAGGGAACTCCTTTGGCTTAGGTGCATTCCTTATGAGTAGACAAACATTCAGTCATAAGGAAACGGGGCTGGCTAGGACTGTGGGTCAGTCCTCCAAACATGCACAGCCTCACTGACTATCAACATCTCACAGCACAGCAGTACATTTGTTAAAGTCAATGAAAGTACACTGACCCATCATTGGCACCCACAGTCTGTAACTGACATTAGAGTTCACTCTTGGAAATGTACACTCTATGGTTTATATGTCTAATTGCTTTGACAATTGTACAATGATATCCACCAATATAAGGATAAGATAATATCTAGGATTATAATATACAAGCAGATTCACTGCTCTAAAAATCTTCTGTGTTCTGGCTGTTCACGGCCCCCTCCCAAGGCAACCACTGTTCTTTTTATTGTATCTATGGGTTTGCCTTTCCCAGAAGTCATAGAGTTAGAATGATAAGTATGCAGCCCTTTGCTTCTTTCACTTAATAATATGCTTTAAAGATTCTGCCATATTTTTTCATAGCTTGAAATCTCATATTTTTAACACCAAATATTTCATTATCTGGGCTTCCCCAGTGGTGCTAGTGGTAAAGAACCCACTTGCTAATGCAGGAGACATGAGAGATGAGGGTTCGATCCCTGGGTTGGGAAAGATCCCCTGGAGGAGGGCATGGCAATCCACTGCAGTAGTCTTGCCTGGAGAATCCCATGGACAGAGAAGCCTGGTGGGCTACAGTCCATAGGTTGCAAAGAGTCAGACAC